AGGAGTAGCAGTAGAAGCTAAAAGACATGTCAATACAAAGGCCTGAATAAACAGCTGAAAGAAGAAAAAGTATCAAGGACCTGAATAAACTGCTGAAAGAAGATTCCTGAGTTGCGTCTTCCTTGCGGGCAAGGGGTCGCGACACTTTTGTTTATTTTTTATTTTGATACAGAGTCATATTAAGTTGCTTAGAGCCTCACTAAGTTGCTGAGGCTGGCTTTGAACATGGGATGCTCTTGCTTTAGCCTTCCAATCAACTTGGAATACAAGCATGTCCCATCTTGCCTAGAGAAAGAATTCCTTTCTTAATCTTGTTTGAAAAGTGCTTTTGCAATGTGAGCTCAAATATTCACAGGCCCTCAGGATCAAGAAGTAGTCATATTTGGAGCTCCACACTTCTATCATTCTGTTTATACTCATTTTTTTTTTTAGGCTCCGTCAGGTGGTTAGTCAGATAGCAGATAAAGAATTCACTTCCTGCAGAGTCCCCAGGTCATTGTTCCTGCCTGTGCATTTGGTAATATTACATTGTTGTAGAAACAGAAAGAGAGGTACAATTTAGCAAAACACATTAAAGGGACAAAAATTCCAGTCTTCCACCTAGTGGGCATTGAATTAGCAATGAGCACTCACTACTTAGGAATAAAGAAGAAACAGCAGTAAGAGTTGAATGCTCACTGAACCCTGATGTCCTCCTTTCCATTTCAGAGTTCCTGGCCCTGAGGCTGGTGAGCGAGGACCAGGAGTGTGCTGGGTGGCTGGAGGTTTTCTACAACAACACCTGGGGCAGTGTCTGCCACAGCCCCATGGAACCTGTGACCTTATCCATGATTTGCAGACAGCTTGGCTGTGGGGACACTGGGACTCTGGATTTCCTGGTTCCTCCCAGAGAAGGTTCTAGGCCTCACTGGGTAGATGGAATCCACTGTCGAGAAACTGATAYCTCTCTCTGGCAGTGTCCTTCTGACCCCTGGAAACACCAATCTTGCTCTGCAAAGGAGGAAGCTCATATCACATGTGCAGGTGACCTTCTGTCTATTTCTATGTGTTTGTCTTATGCCTGCAGGTTGTTGTTTGGAAATTTTCACATATTCAAATATAATGAATGAGTTGAAATAAATCTACAGAGTGAATACTGGATAGAGATTACTTTATCCAACTCTTGCTATCCTGTTTCAAAGGCAGATATAAGAAAATATGCAATGATAGCGATTTATGTGAAAAGTACCAAAGACTGAAATGAGCATATGGGAGCATAGAGTTACACTCTGAGGGACATTCTTAGCAATTATTAAATGCAGTCTCAGATTAGATTAGTTAATCTATATTTCCTTAGTGAGAGGATGAATGATTAGACCTTGGTAATACACATTGCTTGCTGTCTGCTATCAATTACACCCCCCCCATCACACCACGAATAATGTGGCTTAATCATCACAATCAACTGATGATAGGTATCATGGTGATCATTTATTTCAAAGGAGGAAACTGAGGTCAGGAGTAAACACTTCATCTCCCTCAAACTTTCAAACCAGTGGAGAACAATTTGGTGAATCAAATATATTGGACTCTTTACTCTGAAATCCATCTACACCAGACAGACTACCTGTCAGTTTATTTTGTGATGGAAAGTAATCAAGTAGAAAGTACTTGTAGGTAGAAAAGTAATTCCAGGCAGGAAGACAGATACAAGAAGAAAACAGTGCCCCTGTCTTCATGGAGTTTGCACTCCAGCCTGACTACACAACCATGCATAAGGTGCTATGGAAATGTGTGATTTGAGGAAAAGAGAAATCATACTTTTTGAGATCTTAAGGAGCACTAGAGGTTCAATGACAGAAGGAAGTAGAGGATTTATCAGTGTAAGTACTGGTTTGGGAGGAGCATAGTGACCTTAAGGTACCATGAGCAGAGGAGGAAGAGGGTAAGGAGAGTGATACATGGTTACCTGGATGGGTAGGAAGAGCTCAAGGCCTTTCCAAGGCAAGTCCCAAATAATAATCCTATTGAAAAGCTGTTTGTTAATCTTACCCTTTGCCACATCAGGGAACTGCTGTGAGATGAAGGGCCTGGTCTCCCCTCATTTTCTTTTTTGAAGTCACCTCCTCACAGTCCCAGTGATCTTGGTTGATATTACCTCCTCTGAGCCTTTATCCATATGCTACTGCAAACTAATGCCCACTTCATCCCTCTCCCAGAAAACATTCCATGGGGCCTGTTGGAAATTGGAACCTATCATCTTCTAATTTTTTAAGGCCTGTAATGTCCCCTTCAGTTTTTCTTGTTCTGATAAAAACCTGGTTGACCTCTGAAAACAATGAAGTTGTAGTCATTTGGAGGCTCTGTGTTTCCCTTTCAACATGCTTTTTATTTCTAGGTCAAATCTTAGAATAAGCTTGTAATTATCCATCCTATTCTTAGAATATTTCTGCTGTGCCTTGTAATTTAATAAATTATTTTCTTTTTCTCCATGTCCAGCTGTTTGGTTTTGCCCATGAGTTGGTACCTGCCAGCTCTTTTGGTGTCACTCTCCAGCTTGGTCACTCCCCTCATCCAGGAAGTCTGCAGTACCAGGCTCCCCAGGCTCCTCTGTCTCCTGTTCCTGGTGCTGCCAGGAATCTTGTACACAATTGAGATAACATCCTGGCCTCTCAATTATTGGCTTTCTCCCTTTGAAACACCCCCCTTACATTACATCTCCATGTATGGCCACACTATTGACCATCACTAAGTGTCCAGCTCGAGATCTTGATTGCATTGTTCCCTCTCTGACTACTGCTTCTTTTCCTTATGGCACATATTCTTGATGCTCCTTTTCTCCAGATATTTCATCCTCATGCAGATTCCAAATGTTTTCCTTTATCAGCTTCCCAGTTTTCCACTCTCCTCATGATTGCACATGTTCTTTTTACCGTGTTTAGACAACATGACGCTGCATTATAATCCTCCCCCTTCAAGTACACTCAATTCTCTGCTCTCTTCTTTATCTATCAATGACAAGAATGGTTGTGTAAACTACCTAACTCTTTCCTGCCTGTACTGGACTGGGCAATGACTGCTGAATCATGAACAAGTACTGTATCTTGTTATAATGTGAAATTATCTTGCAATTCTCTTTGAATTTGAATCCAACCTCTGACGGACCATCCACGCTGGCCCATATTCTAGTGTACTGCTCTCACATGTGCTTTTGCCCTTTCTGTAACATGTTATTTTACAAATTCTGAGATCTCCCCCATGCTGATATTTTAACCCCACCATACACTTAAATGATGATCTTGCCTCAAATATCCCTGGAAAATAGAAACCTTCAGCTGCCTACTTTGTTTTTTCCTCATACAGTCACTTTACCCTATTGGTTGTTCTTATTTTGTCTTATGGATTTTCAATTTCTCTTTGCCTATAATTTTTTTCTGGACAGCTTGAATAATCTATCGTCACATTTTTCTCCCTTATTCATCTTGGAGCTTTTTCTTTTTCTTTTTTTTATTGGTTGTTCAAAACATTACAAAGCTCTTGGCATATCATATTTCATACATTAGATTCAAGTGGGTTATGAACTCCCATTTTTACCCCAAATACAGATTGCAGAATCACATCAGTTACACATCCACATTTTTACATAATGCCATATTAGTAACT